AGAGCCATTTTTTCGTTAGACTGCATGTGTTGGTACTTTTTTTCTTTTTAAAGTCAGTTATCTTTGATGCACTGCAAAAAATTCAGTTTATAAGATAAATCTGAAAATTCATAACAAGAGATAGGAATTATAAAAATATTAATCTTCCTTATTCCTAACTAAGCTACACTAAGCATTCATACATGGATCCAAGATAAAAGTGTTTTTCTGAAACTTTTTTTAATAAGATGGTTTTCCATTAAATAGCATTCCCAAGGTAAAGCTGTTTCACTGTTTCACTTCTTTACTGTTGGGCTACGTATGTTTCTTTTCTTTTTTCTTTTTTTTTTTTTAACTTGAGAGCTGACTGTTGCTTAAGAAGTTTTCTTATGGCAAAAATAATGTAAATAATTTATTACGATCTGCATTTTGCCAGGAACTCATTTATTATTAAGGTTATCATTTATTAATAAGAACTTTTCTGTTTTTGTTCTTTATAATATTACATTAAAGTTGAAAACTGATTAACAGGTACTTTTGAAATATTTGTATGCATTTGTTACCTTAAACATTTGGAAGAAGCACAAAAAAGTAGATTTAGTTAACCCAGAGAAACATCATTTTTTAGTAGTTCCAATTTTTATATCACAGTTTTATTTTCTTATGAAGTCCAAAAAACTGCATTGATACTCATTAATACAAATTCATTACTTAACAATAAATATCAAATAGTCTTCTGAAATAAGATATTGACTATTTTTATTTTAATAGCACACTTCTTAGGCTCTCATTACCAGCTCTAAAGGACTTTTTAGAAATGATTCCTTATTCCTTAATATGTGATCTATGAACTGTGTGTGTATCATTACTAACCCAGTAGCCATGAGAATAGCCTCTCTCCCCTTCCGTCCATCTGTCTCTCTTTTTGGTTAGCAGTGTCGTGTTTATAGTTCTCTTTGGAAAGACCATCAATAAAAAAGAAAGAGAGACAGCATGTTTAGCTGACCAGAAATAGAAATGAAAATTAGAGAACTTGGATTTATTAACTCAGTGTCATCATTAACGTAGGTTTTGCCACCAAATAAAGTTAAATCTCTTTGAAACTCTTGGATGAAAGGTGCTATATAAATGTAAATACAAAAGATTCTTACTGAAATACAAATATTGCACAACAGAAATATTCAAAATCTATTCTCTAGACTTTGAGATCTCTCTATCACGACTCCCTTGATTCAAGTATCAAATTGGTAAATGGGTATCATGACAGTCTAGAGACACTTTGCATGTAAAAAATGTAAATTTATTTTTGGTTGGGTAAGTTGAAAGTAAATGTAGACATTATGTTTTAGCTAAATACAGTAAGTGGGTAACTTAGATTTATATTAACTAGCATCTAATTTGCACAGCTAGGACACATCCCAGAACTGTTACTGAAAAGTTGAAATTTAATGAGTGTGAGGTGGCCCAATGAAGATGAATATCACACTTTCACCTCTCCAGGATACTAATATTCTAAAATAGAGAATCTGCTGAATTAACCAGCACATTACTGTTTCTACAGAAAATGCTGAATGACAGCCTTTGAAATACTAAATTTAAAAAGGCTGATCTAAAAGGACAATTGAAAAGACTCAAAGAAGGGGACATAGCGAGACTGTAAAAATACAAATACTCTCAATTATATTCATCACCTTTTTCATACCATTTCAAGAAAGGACTAGATAATAACCACATGAATATTTTACTTTCTCCAAAAGCTACCGCCAGAAGCAAACATGTAGGAAGCCACTCTTTTACCTTACATAAACTTCTGTCAAACAAAATAGTAAAGCCAACTGGAAACTCACCAGGGCCTATTCCTGATGAGCCAGACATACTTTTAATTTTCTGGTTCTACTCTGAATCAATACCTAAAACCCCTAAGGAAACTGAAAAATTCAATATACAGGGTAATAACTTTGGCCTAGAGCTGTAATCATGTGCTTCAAATCTAGCCATGTGGAAATGTTTTGGTCCAAGTTTTTGAATTGGTGGTTACCAAAGAGTTTATAAGACAGGTTCGTATGTAGCACCTTTCATGCCAGGCATGGTAAGGGCCTATTTTAAAAAACCACCGTGTGTGTAATAGAATTGCAGCCACCTCACAGATCAAGTTCTACAACCTGTACTGTCTTAACAGATTATGTCAGGAAATGAAAATGATACTGTACCAAATCTGAAATTATAATGGGAATAATAATGTATTCTAAATTACTTTTGTATTTTAAGTTACTTTTTAAAAGAAAAGTGAATTTTGTGGTTTTCTTTTCAACTACCTAATCCCAAAATGTGTTTTTTTTTTCTTAAAGCCTTGAATGAGTAATACAAAAGGAGCTCATTTTATAACTTACAAACTTGATGTACATGTTATTTGGATAATGAAATGCCTTAAAAGGAATGCTTAACGGATAATGTTGCACTTACAACCCCCATTAACAAAACCTGATTTTAAATGGCCTTTTTCTTTTCTGAGGGTTCTTTCTCCAGTGTTTGCCATTGTACTTACAACTGTTATTAAATACCAAATCAATATATAACTGTAACATTTCCTTTAAAACTAATGCTGATGAGAATTTGGAGTTGAATGGCAAAATGTTTATTACTTGGCAATACTTAATATCAGCCATAGAAATCCAACTCGTGAAAAGAGGCACCATTGTTTGATTTGTCTTTTAAAAACATTCATTTTCAACCTAGCTTTTAACTTTGTTTCTCCTTTAAAAAGTTGGATTAACATTCACTTTTCAGACTGATATATAAAAAATAAAAGGTGATTTTTTACAAGAAGTAGTAATCATTCTTAAGTCATAATTTTAACCAAGTGTCATTCTGTACCCTGGAGAACTACTTTCAGATGTAATTCCTCACTTCAGATTACTTTGCTCTTATCATACTGGGATGAATATTAGAGGTTTGGGGAGAAAGTGAAGAGTCTCTGTCAGTTCTCTCAATCCCAAAATGGGTATAAATACAGTTTACATATATTGGGCCCCCCATATAGGCCAAAACCCAGTGGATCCCTGATAAAAGTATTAAGTAATACCAAATTCTATATGTACTGTTTTTTTCTATAACATATATAACTATGATAAAAGTTTATAGACACAGTAAGACATTAATGCTAGTAACCAATAATAGAATAATTATAACATATAATAAAAGTTACATGAGTGTAATCTCTTTCGATATCTTATTGTATTCACTCATGAGATGTCAAATGATAAAAATAATGTGATGAAGTAAGGGGGGGGTGAGGTCAATGATGTAGGAATTGTAACAAAGCATTAGACTACTACTACATAAAAATTACTTGAACAGCAATACTACAGTTATCCTAACACAGTTGATACCACTACAGTTGATCCTAACATGGTTGATCCACTGTAAGTCTGGTAACCAAGAGGGCTACTAAGTGACTAAAGGGCTGGTACAGCATAGATACACTGGACAAAGAAATGATAAACACCCCAAGCTGGATGAGATGTGAGATTTCATCATGCTACTCAGAACACCACCCAGTTTAAAACTTGTGAATTATTTCAGGAATTTTCACTTATTTTTGGATTGTGGTTGACCATGAGTAACTAAAACCTCAGAATGCAAAACTGCAGAGAAGTGGGGACCAGTGTACTAGACTGTACAAAATTTCCACTTACAGACTTTGGGGGGCAATTTGCCTTGTATCCTTGGGCAAATCAGACCTCCTAGACCTGTTTTCACCATCAGACAAGCTTCTCAAGGTCCTCAAATTAAGATTTTATTCCTTCATTTTATGTGCAAAGCAACCTAAAATTACTATTGTCTTAGAAATACAGTACAGACTAGTTAAAAACTAACATGGAACTTTACAGTCAAGTAATCATTACCTTTATTTTACCTTTCAGTAACATCCCATTTGATTATGTACTAAAGAAAGTATGTGAATTTTAATGACCCACAACAGGATTTCTTGTAATCTAAACCATGTCAGATCCTCAGTTAATGAAGGCTTTTGTTTGATTCTAAGTGAAGTGAAAAAAAGTCAAATTTTCTGCTTTTTTTAACTAGTTTCTATATGACAACTGACTACATTTTTATAGGCTTTTATACTATTTCAGATGTCCTAACTGAAAGAAAATTAGTAAAATCCTAGAAATAGTGTAATAAAATACCCTAAAGGACAGAAGAAACTTGTGGAAGTATGTTCAGATTTATAACCTCTGAACCAGATAATCATTTTTAATGGCATAAAAATCAATGGAACACCAAACAACGGAGTTTTTATCCTTCTCGCCCATGTTTAATTATCTTGTTGGAGAATCCTTATTCCTTAATCCCCATTTCCCGAAATAATAATTTAATATATTTTTATTGTATTATGTACATTACCATGTGTAAATTTCACACAYATTGTTTTTCAGCTTGCTTTTTCAAGTACAATAAGCATTCTAAAGACGTAAGCTAGCTAAAGCTAAGTGTTCCTAATTGTTTAAGGCATTCCTGTAATAACTTACTGTTATAGGAGATGGAAAACAGGATCTGAGTTGACTAAAACTACCTCAGTATGTCTTTTATTTTTAATTTTTCAGTACTGGGGATTTAATCTAGGAGCATTTCACCACTAAGTTATAATCCCATACCTTTTCATTTTTTTATTTTGACACAGGGTCTCACTAAGTTGTTGAGGCTGGTTTCAAACTTGTGATCCCCCTGTCTAAGCCTCCTGAGTCACTGGGATTACAGTTATGTGCCACCTCGCCCAACTCCATCTTTTTTATTTATTTCTTTTTAATATTTACTTTTTAGTTTTAGGTGGACACAATATCTTTATTTTACATTTAAGTGGTGCTGAGGATGGAACCCAGTGCCTCAATGCATGGTAGGCGAGTACTCTACCACTGAGCCACAATCCCAAAACCAAAGATACTATTTTATCACTTTCAATTTTTTGATTTTTATTTCATATAATTTAAAATAGTGAATTGTTATATATTTGTACAGGCACGCAATATAACTATATAATATGGTCATTTTTTTTTCCCTCCAATACCTCCCCTTTCTCTCCCCTGTTCCTGCCTCCTGGTACTACTTTCATTACCAGGAAAAAAAAAGTGGGGGGTGGGGGATAAAATAGGGTACCAGAAATAAAATAAAAACTCCATGTCCTTACTTCACCCCAAGGCCTATTTTCTTCTAGGCCTGAATTCTTAAGATTCAATAAATCTTATATATAATTCATTTTAAAAAAAATAAAATTACAAGACTTTTCAGAAATACAGTTATCCGGAGCATTAATTTTTATCAAAATTTAGTATTATGGGTTCATGTCCTGTCATCTTCACAAATGTAAGAAAGTCTTCAGGGCTCAATCCCATGGTTGCAGCATTGGTCATTGGATGAAAGTATACCTTTTCGTGTCCACCTTCCAGAAAAGCAGAATCCAGAACAAATTTTACATCTCCATCATCACAGAAGAGGGCCAGAGGTGTGGCACAGCCTTGACCAACTTTCAGCTTTTCTAGCATGACTGTTTCATCAGCAAATCGCAGACCTCCGCTCCCAACACCTAACTGTTTGGCAAGATCATTTAAATTAATTTGTCTATCATGAAGAACTGTCACCAACCAATAGTTTTTTTTCTTTTTGTCTTTAAGAAATAGGTTCTTACTATGTGCTCCTTTCAGATGCTGGATATGACGCATCATTTCTTCAACTGTAAACACCTACAAAATAATCACATATATGAGAAGTTTAGGAATTAATATGCATATATACATACTTACACATTATGAAATATTTACAATCCCTTTTCTCAATTCCTCATCTTAGGATCTCAGGCAGTTTCTCTTTAGACCAGTGTTCCATTCCAAGGTGCAGCCAAGCATGCTCTCACATTCAAAAAAAAAAAAAAAAACTTTAAACTTCGGGTATTAAAAGTAGACAGCTGCATAAGACTTTTTAAAAAAGCATCAAGAAAATCTGGCAATATGCACAGGTAAAGCCCAGCACAGTGGCACAACCGGTAATCCTAGCGACACCTGTAATCCCAGTGGCTCAGAAGGCTGAGGCAGGAGGTTTGCAAGTTCAAACCCAGCCTCAGCAACTTAGCAAGGCCCTATCTCAAAAAGCGGGGGTGGGGGTTGGAATGTGGCTCCRTGGTTAAGCACCCCTCAGTACCAAAAGGTCGGGGGCGGCGATGTCAGAGACCATATGGAAGAGAGGAAGGTCAGAAAAACAGTCTTGATGTTGGATTTGTAAAGGTAAGGAATACTAATTTTGTATTCTGGTCTTTGGAGATCGCCATTTTAGCCATCATTGATTGTCACTTTTGGGTAAGCTTTATGCCCCGCACCACTCAAGTTACACTAGTTTCAGGAAACGTACAAATATTCACATTAGTACATTAAACCATGTTAAGGGGTGGGGGTTGTGGTTCAGTGGTATAGTTCTTGTCTTCCACCTGGGAGGCACTGGGTTCGATTCTCAGCACCACATATAAATGAGTAAAAGGTTCATCAACATCTAAAAATATGTCCTAAAAATGTTAAAATGTGCATATTCGCAACCATTTTTTTTTTTTGGAGGGAATGGTGATTTTTGCCATGCTGGTAAAGTGTAAAGAGTAACCTTTGTGATAAACTGATCCATGACTGCAAAATATCAACCCCTCTCCTCCGGCTGTATGTAGGGGCCACTAAATAGGCGGTTTGGTGCTTTGTATCACTTTATATACACAAAGTGGACAAACTGACCACAACCAGACCGGTTAGATGCACAAGTTTTCCATATTTTGAACTAGTTCTCAACATAGTATGTGATCAAGTCACTCCAGGAAGAAAACAAGTTTCAGGACAACCTCACAGTCACTAATCGAAAGCACTCTGCTGTACATCATCCCTGGAAAGCCTATCTCCACGGCCTTGGCGGATGGACCTGCAGTGAGTGAGCACCTCCTCTGGCCAGGGCTGTCCCTGCAGTCACGCCTAACGCGGAAGCCTCACCTCGGGGTGTTCCACAACCTCCGTGCGGATGGCAAGGGCATCGAGTCGCTGCTCCAGCGCTGCACGCAACTCAGAGCCAGCCATTCCACCGCCACGCCGACAGCCGGAGGCGGAAGTGCCGGAGGGTTGACAGCCGAGCCGGAAGCCCAGCGTGCGCACCTTCCGGAGGCGGAGCCGCGCCGCCTTGCCACTCTACGCGGGCCTGCGTCTCCACGCGCTAATGCCTGCGGGGGCCTAGTCAGACTGCCTGACCCGGCCGCAAGTTTCCTGGGTCCGCACGTTTTTCGTTTAAATAGAATCGGTTTCCATTGCAGCGCTAACCGGGACTCACCTTTTGCTTGGTTGTTTGATCACATCTTGGTGCAATGTTTTCAGCTATACTGGCAAATACGCATTCACCACTTGAGTGAGGCATGAAAGGAGTTTCACTTAGAGATTTAGATTAAGGCTCAAATCTCATACGGAACCTGGAACGTTCAATGTTTGTGTGGATGAGTTCGGGTAACTTATCACTTGCAAAATGAGACTTTACCAGGATCCTTGGAAGAAGTTGCAAAAGAAAAAGAAATCAGGGTTGAATTGACAATTTCACCCAGAACTGACTTTAGGTAACACAATTTTCTCAGCTTTATCTGCCTCCTAGACTTTTAAGTTGTGTTTTTTTTGTTTGTTTTTTTAAGGTCCATGTTTGCTTATTTGCTTACCCCTTCCCCTTCTAGGCGCTGGGGGTTAAACCTTGGAGGACCTTGTGTGCTGTGCCTACCACTGAGCTACATCCCCCACCCCCACGCAGTTGTTTTTATTTCTGATTATAGAAACAGCAGGTCATTTCCCATGGCCTCAGTAAATTCAGATCAACAACAAAATCAATTTACCGCATTACACCGTTACAGGGCATTTGGAAAACAAGAGAAAAGATCACTCAAACTCCAGTGTTCCTATAATGCTATTGCTACTTRGGTCTGTCTTTCCAGTCTTGTGCTTGTTTCTTTTATTCTTGTTGTTTTGTATAAACGAAAGTTTTTCAGATAATTGAAACCTTCATATACACAGTTTTGTATCCTGCTTTTATCAGTTACAAGCATTTTCCTGTTTCTACACTGTTTTCCTTTTTTTATAGATATGTAGTTAAATCATAGTTTTGTTAAGAGTTTTTATTGGTTTTTGTTATTTTTGAGGTGCTGGGGTGGAGCTCTAGGCATCATCAATGCTACACCAGTCCTTTTCCCATAAGCTACATCCCCAAACCAGGATAATAATTTTCTTTATCATTTCTGCATTGGTGGACATCCTGTGTTAACGAATTCTAATATTCTAAATCGCTTTCCAAAATAATTATTCTTATTTATAATATATTAACAATGTATGAATTAACCCATTTTTCTACATTTTGACAGATATATAATTTTAAAATTTGACAGACAAAAGGGACCATTTATTTTTTAATATGCATTTTTCTGATTATTACATATATGTATATATAATTTCTAAATTAAAATTTTATTTAATTTTATTTACTTGYTTATTTATTTATTTATTTATAACAGTACTTGGGATTGAGACCAAGGTGTTCCACCACTGAACTACATTCCCCACTATTTTTACTTTGATTTGAGACAAGATGTCACTAAATTGATGAGGCTGGCCTTGAATTTGTAATCCTCCTGCCTTACCTCATGAATTGCTGGGATTACAGGCTGTGCACCAAGCCTGGCTGTAATTTAATTTTCTTTTTCTTTTTTTAAATAAGCATTTTTTTTCTGATTACCCAGGACCTGGATATGTTTCCATGTTTAGTCTGTGGTCCTACACAGCCTGAATGCACCTGATCACATCTGTTTCCATGTTTATTATTTTATTTTCCCATTTGTGAACTAGCTTTGTTCCTATCTTGGCTCATTTATCCACTGAATGAATATTAATGGGTTTGATACTGATAAATAATTAAGTTATCTGTCTTTCATTTGTCATGTATCCTCCAAATCGTGTTTCTTTTATTCCAGTTTCCATCTACAGAAGTAACCAAATGTCACTCTTTTTAAGCTTTTTTTGACCTAAGTTTCTAAACTTAGGAGTTTAAACTCCAGCAATAGAATATTCAGACTATTTTCTGTTTTGTTTTCTTAAGAATATTTAATTATAGGGGGCTGGGGCTATAGCTCAGTGGTAGAGTGCCTGCCTTGCACGTATGAGGCACTGGGTTCAATCCTCAGTACCACATAAAAATAAAGATACAGTGTCCATTTACATCTAAAAAAGTTTTTTTAAAAAAAGAATATKTAATTATGGGGCTGGGGCTGGGGCTCAGTGGTAAAGCGTTTGCCTAGCATGTGCAAGGCACTGGGTTTGATCCTCAGCACCACATAAAAAATAAAATAAAGGTGTTGTGTCTATCTACAACTAAATATATATATTTAGCTGACATATATATATATATATATATATATATATATACACACATATGTGTATAAAAGAATATTTAATTCATTAAAATGTATTTAAGATTTGCTTTAGCATATTAGGTGTGATGTGCTCACTTTTTTCAGTAGGTTTTGCTAAAAATGAAATTTGAATAGTAAAGATCACCCATTCCAAGAAATGGCAGACAGCCATTTTATTTATTAAACATATGTGTGATCACTGCATGCCTGTAATCCTAGCTGCATGGGAGACTGAGACCAGAGAATTTCAAGTTTGGGGCCAGCCCTCTCTCAAAAGTTTAAAAAGAGACTGGGAATGTGACTCAGTAGTAAACTCTCCCTGGGTTCAATCCCTGGTAACTAACACACACACACCCTGGTGTACACTAATGATTTGTTTTTGTTTTGTTTTAGGTACTGAGGATTAAACCAAGGGGTGCTTTACCACCAAGCTACTTCCCAGCCCATTTATTATTTTTTATTTTGAGACAGGGTTTTGGTAAATTGTCCAGACTGGCCTCAAACTTGTGCTCCTTCTGCCAAAACTTCCTTAATTGCTAGGATTATAGGTGTGCACCACCATGCCTCAGCATTAATGGCTTCTTTAATTTTAAGTACCTGTGATTGAACAACCAAGTATACTACAACCAAGATTTTACAACCCAAGACTTTTGTTAAAAAACAGAGGTAAATAATCTATGGTGAAAGAACTATGTCACTGATCAACAAACAAAAAACTACTATCATAACTCAGGTTTAATCTAATATTTATTTGTTAACCATATATGTGATCACTACATTAAATGCTATCCTAAGTATAGTCCTTTGTCTTCAGAGCAAATACATTGGAAACAGCAATAATAGGAAATAGGTTACATTAAAAATTATCTACAGTGAACTGAATTAACTCACTGATTGGGTTAAGACTCTTAAAACACAATCATTTCTCCTCTGAATCTTCTTTCATTTTCTCACACATGAGCTTTTGGGGGACATAATATMTAAACCATAACAGACATGGATTGCAGCAAGCATTTAAAAAAGATAGGTGGGCTCTTGGAGAGAAAGAAAAAGAGATCCTTACTAGATGGAGGCCCAGATATATGAGCATAACCAGACATGCTTGTCTGGTTAGATGAACAATTCTTCAGTGTATGCTTGTACCAGATCAACTAGAACAAAAACATAATAATTTACATGTCACAAAGTTCGAAGATCTACACAATGTGCCCACACCTAATTTATAGCTAGTCAGCTTAACCAAAAAAGAAACCTGAGGAGCCACATACATGGCCAGTGGGGATGTGGGATGAAGAAATAACTTTTTTTGAGAGAAAAAACTGATGCAGACTGCCAAGATGAGGAAGTTGCAAGATAAGAAAGAGGCCTCTGAAGCCAAAGTACAGTTAGAGGAGGATTTATGAACCTTGAAAATACCTCTTGGTTTCCCCCATATTGTTGATGGAGTTCAAAGAGGAGGAAGATTAATACCTGCAAGCCTGGCCAGTGGCAAACAGTGGTAATGCAGAAAACCAAGCAGCAGCAGCCAAGGGCTCTTGTGAACAACAAGTGGATGGTAGACTTTGGAAAACAATTTAGACAGAGATTGGGAGAGTCTCTGGCTGCTTTGTGGTCATGCCTGTGAGATTTAGGGGTGCTGGGAGTCAACAGGGGCAAGACAATCCATATGCTACATGTTATTGATACTGCACAACCTTGTGACTTAGATTGCTAGAAACCAGCAGGGGCCAAGAGAGAACCCAGTGTGCTAGGAGCTAACAGGGACCAAAAGAGCCCAGATATGCCAGGAGCTAGAAGGGACGAGAGACCTTAGGAGGTGCTAGAGCCTGTTACCTGTGAAGGTGTACCAGAAACAAGAGGTAAAGCACTTATACCATCCAGTGCTTGTTACAATGATGGTTCCAGCTGTGGACAGCTGCATGTGTGGATGTCAGTGGCTGCAGAGCCAGAAACAGACACTGTCTAATTTGATAATAATGCAGGACAAAGTAGTCAGTGAGCTGAACTACACACTGTTGATGATCATAGCAAATGAAGCATCCCCTATAATGATATGTACTTGCAGTTGTGCTGTGTATGGGGGCAAGTTCTATGGCAAGAGAACAAACCTGTTGGGTGACTCTCATACTTAAGTTTAGAGACCACTAGTCTTATCCAATAGTATTTTTTTCCCAGTAGCTTCTAGTTTTAAAATTATGATTAGAATGGTCTTTCCTACTCAAGTCAATGAATCGCATAATTAACATTATCTTCTCATCTTTAACATTTAAACATTTAATCCTACCATAAGAACTATAATGTTCTTGAGGACAGGAGCCTATCTAGTAGGTACCCCTCAGAATTATATTACTTTCCAGGAGAGAAAGGCTTTGGGGATGAAAACCTTTTCCTTACCCTCTTAGGTTTATTCACAGAGATGTTTGAGTTAAACTAACAAAAGACATTATCAGAAGAAAAAACACCATTTTTATTAACATTTACCTGAATAAAAGTTCACAAAAAAGAAGTCAAACTCTAAGAAGCAGTTAGATTTGGGGGCTCACGTAGCCTTTTAATAAAGGAAGTTTGATCTGAACAGAACTGTTTCATGTGCCATAATTTAAAATATCTCCTGGAAAGAAATCCTAATAAAATGACTGATTTCCTGTTTCACAGCTGGTTCATCAATTAAAATTTTTATTTTTTTTAAATTTTTTTTAAATATTTTTTTTAAGAGAGAGACAGAGAATTTTTATTTATTTATTTATTTTTAGGCAGACACAACATCTTTGTTTGTATGTGGTGCTGAGGATCGAATCCGGGCCGCAGGCATGCCAGGCGAGCGCACTACCGCTTGAGCCACATCCCCAGCCCAATATTTATTTTTTAGTTATCATCGGACACAACATCTTTTGTTTGTATGTGGTGCTGAGGATTGAACCYRGG